CAATTCTATGGTTAATCTCATCCTTCCTAAACCCATCCACTGACACGTCAACTCCCAAATATCTGAAAACATTCACTTCTCCCATACTCCCTCTTGGGTAACAGAGCAAACAAAATAAATTAGGCATTAGGATTATTAACAACAATTGTAGAATGGTTCTACATTTTTGAACAAACAACAAAAACATGTAGTTCCAGTTCAATGAAGATATAATTTTAATTACATACATTAAGAGTTGTTATGGTATTACTTCACCACTTTTTAATCTGCCTTCACAAAATATTATTCTAATACTGCATATATTATTTGGTGTATAAGGTGTTAAACCAGTACATCATTATTTTTACTATTTTTATATTCATGGGAAGCACTACACCCATAGGGGTTAAAGTGCCTACGGAATGGGAGGTAATCAGGTTTGCTCGAAGACAGGGATGGGTAATTCCAATTCCTTGAATCACTAGCATTAAAATAACCCCTTCAAGAATTTTATGTGTAAAATTCTCTGATTAGTACAGCAGTGTGCAAATTAATTGGGACAGGAGTAAATTTTATGATTATCTCATATGTCTTAGTCTTCAGCTTAATTAATGTAGTTTGGGTTCTTTTCTTTTCAGAAGAGTTTGCTACTTACTTCTAACAACCATTAAGCTGTGGTGTTGCCCTGCAACTCTTGCCAGTGCTACAACAACTGTTATTCTGTAAGACTATTCCTGCAAGCATGCTCTGTGAGTGAATGTGGTTTCACCTAATTCTTCCCTTCAATTTATGATTACTGTTGAAATTCATGATGAATCTTACACCTACGAAGCATGTAAGTATTGTAGCTCCTAGAAAACAAGCTGAATTGAGTATCAGACAGATTGCTGAAAATTTGAGCCTAGCAAAGTCAACTGTTGGTTGCAGTGGCAGTTCGTGTATAGGCACTGAAGAACTGCAGCACCCCCTATTTTCACTCGATATTATTGATAACATTCGATATAATGAGTTTTTTTTTAATTCTTTCTTTATACTTCTACATCATATAATCCTTAAGCTTAATGTCAGTAGCCATCCCCTAATACATGAAAAAATGATAAAAATCCTTGTATGGAACTGTGCGCTTCACAGTTCCAGCAACTTGGTGTTTGGCTTTTATGCGCATGCGCACACGTCCGAGATAAGACGCTGCATGCTAGGCAGAGAGAGCACTGTCGCTGACGCAGTGTCGACCCTGTTGTGCAAGTGTAAGGTAGTGTTTCTTTTTGACTCAGCGACGTGTGTTGTGCTTAAACCATGTACCATATTCTTGAATGTGATAAAGTGTAGAATTAGATGATTATCATGCTTCCAGCTATTTTATTTAATTCATAGTTTTTTTCAGTTCTTTTATTTTACACAATATTAAAACAATGGCTAAAACTTTCTGAAGCAGCACCTCCATTAATTTTAGCTACGAGCCGCCACTGGTTGACTGGATTCTGAAGAGAGCTCACGACACTGTAGATTGTGGAGTGCTATGATGAGGAAGATGTGGAAGAAAACACAAGACAACACCTCACAATGGCAAGGTTATTACGGAAGGATCCCAAGAAAACCAGAAAAGATCTACAATGAGATATGGCTTCAACTGGCATAAATGTTGATTCTTCAACTGTTCGACAAAGGCTCCTTGAAGATGGCAGAACTGCCAGAAAGCTGGTAAAGAAACAATTATTGACTGCTGCTATGGAGAAAAAAATGACTGGTGGGCACTCGATCATAAGGGATGGATGACAAATGATGGAGAAAAGTTATATTTTCAGATGTGGTGCATTCTGAAGTACGTACATGGGTACAGATCAGTGGTAGTGAGATGAAGCAAAGGCGAAGATCTTTGGAATAGATACATTCAACAAGCGCCAAAACACCCACCTAAGAAGATGTTCTGGGGTAGTTTTACTGCTAAATGCCCTGGATGGCTTCTTACTGTTGAGGGAACGATGAACAATGACAAATGCAAGGCAATCCTAGCAACTCACTTGCTTCCCATTATGGATAGAGACTTTCCCAATGGAGAAGGCATTTCCCAGCAGGATCTTGCTCCATGCCACAATTCCAGAAAAATGATGACATTCTTCGATGAGAGTGGGCTCAGCGTTCTAAATTGGCCTGGAAATTCTTGACCTCAATTCAACTGAGAATTTATGGGTAATAACGAAATACAGGATTGCAAAACAGGACTGTTCAACTGTGGAGAAATTAATTGCTGCTGTTATTAGGACCTAGTACTACGATGAAGAATTTGCCAAAATGTGTTCAACATTGGTAGATTATATGCCAAAGAGTGTAGCAATGCTTATAAAAGCAGAGGGTAGTCATATCTCTTATTATATCAATTATCTGTCACATCATTGTCATGAATTTTTCAAATAAACATTAATTTTCAAATAAAAGTCTTATTTCATCACTGCCCCAACTAATATGCACACTACACTATGTTAATTATTCAACCTACTGGAATGAGTTGGATTCAGATTACTAGATTTGTCATCAAAAATAAGTCACATACTTACATATTATAAAGCTCCTAGCTTTTCACAATCTTTTTTTCCTTATGATTTCTCTGCTGTGAGGTTAGGTCAGTTAGTTAGATTATCATTAATCCATAATAAAGATTTTGTGACATAAGTAGAGCCACTGGAACAGCAGACAGTATGTAGAATATCCCACTTATTATGCTTTAAGTATTACTTAAGTCTACAAAGAATGCCCATATGTATTTTTTACCAATCATCCCATATGTGTAAGTTGAAATTACTATACTGTATTTATAATGAGTAAGTCAAAAACTGACATAAATCTGAGGATGGGTTAATACAGGTACTGTGCATCTTTTTTGTGAAACAGCACAAGAAATAATCCAATTAATTTTTTATGGATATGTTACAACAGTTGGGCCAAATCCTAATAGGACAAGACAGATGAGCTTAATCATGTGTTTCCCTCTGGCCTTATTCTTTCATTAAGTAAGGAAGACACTGTAACAGCATGTGGTTAATAACAGTTTGTCTTGATTTGCATCGACAGCAGAAGCATTAGGACTGGTACAAAATCTAATTATGTTTGGTTAGACACGAGCAAAACATAACTAGTAAGGACATGGATGACCAAATTAGGGTGGTCAAATACCGAACTCCATCAACCATATTTTTATTAAATATAATCACATATATGCAAAGGCAAATAGATATTTACATAATTAATAAAGACATGGCTAATGAAGTTACATTGGTTAATTAAACAAGAGCAGTCATTTTATACATAATTAATAAAGCTAATGGTTGATGGCGTTAGGAAAGTGTTACTGTGTAGAGCAAGACAAACAAGTCTGAACAAGAGGTTACAAGACAATTCCAATCAGATTAACTGAAACAACAGCAAAAATAAGGTTATTTTCTTTCAACACTTTTAAAGGATAATTACTCTAGGTTATAATTCATTAACATTTATTATAATGCTTTAAAATCAGTGAGTTGAAGGAGAGGATGTGAGAGAAGTGAAAAGAGAAAAAGATGGTTGAAAAATATATGATGGTATACTCATTTGAGAGAACAGGTGATTGCATGTTGATAAAGACTCAGCACAGAGGAAAGTGAGAACAAGACGGGATATAATAATGCACCATAACAGACTTATCAGTAAAGAGTGCATCTGTTGTAATAGGAATACTTTATTTTAATGAAAGGCTACACTTACCCCATCTGTTGGATAGTGGGAAATTATGTGGTAAGTGTTTGTTGATAGAAATGTAATGAATGCCACATGTTAAATAATTACCACCACTCTAACTTATGTATAACTATTTTAAATGTTTATTCAACCAGCTTCAACCTACATTAAGTGAATATAACTTCACATGCACAATATATTAAAATGAACAATCTTTTAAGTGTGTTTCAGAAAACTAAAATAACAATCCATACATCAGCAGAAGATGGAAATAAGACAAGCTTAGCTAAGAATATAATGCAGATTTGTTAGGTTTAAGGGAAGCTAATCATGAAGCTCACATGGATGAGAAAGTATTTTGGTTTCACTGTAGTGAACTCTGCAACTGTTGTGGCTCATAAATATATCTTTCTACAAAATAATGCATATAGTACATGTCATACCACCAACTTGGATTTTTCCTCTTTTAGCTGTATACTGTATATGAAATTCTACATTCATAAGCTTTAACAAATTTTTATTTTAATTATTCATCCCAAAAATAAATGAACATATTCTTAAATATTTTTAACATAATTTATGTGAAATATTCATTAAAATAATGAAAATTTATTATAGTCATATATAAAAGTATTTACAATAAAGAGAGATGAGCAGTATGTGATTATTGTTATTTTGTAAGGGAAGAACTCTGACCGATGTTTATTCTTAATACTGCATCAGAAACAAGCATTATATAGCAGAGTACAGTATGGAATAAATTTTCTTATAATGCAGTGGTGACCAGTTTACTATGTCTATATTTTTACTGGTTATTTATTGGAAAATTTAGTATTAAAATGTTCATCTATAAAAAATGTAATAGTACAAATAAACAAATAAAGTACAAACTTATTGGACTTTTCATCCTTGCATTGTGGAAATTGCACTACATTTTTGCACCCATAACCATCACCAAAGACCTTCCACAATAAATTTTCACTTTTTAATGTGTTTTAGCAGCCTGAGTTTTGTATTAAATTTTCATAATATTTCAGAGATCAATTACTACATTAGTGTATTTCCAAACAGAATTTACTGTCTTATATCAAGTAAACAATTTCTTTTTCACTACCAACTGTGGTGGCAATACCTTAGAAATAGTTTTTTATAATTAAGGTGAGGCTTGAGGAAATTATAGTATATGTTCAGAAGTTAGTAGTAATGGCAGTATGTTTGCTTAATAGATGCTTCTTTAGGCTAGACTTGCGTGCTGTAGTGTGTTCACAGTATGGGCAGTTGAAAGGCTTCTCTCCCGTGTGGATTCTCAGATGACGAGTTAGGTCTGACCGCAAGAAGAATGGTCGAGAACAAAAGTGGCAAGTGTGAGGTCCTCCTCCTGATGATCCAGACGGTACAGCAGGTGGCAACCCTGACGGCAGCCTCGGAGGCAGAACTCCCATCCCCTAGAAGAGGAACAGCAGCTTCACAAACCACTCGGCATACCTTCCAATAATACCGCCTAATGTTTAAAATTAAACTAATAAAATTATAATAAAACTATAATTTTGTATACTGTTTATATCACAAAACCCATCCTATACATACTTTTAACTGATTTAAAATACTTCTTAACTAAGTGAATACATTATATGAGACACTGAGAAGACAAAAAGCCAGTGACTTCATACATGAAAAATATGGTACAGTATATACCTGGATAATCACCCCCTTAAACTACCCACCTATACAGACAATAATGAAACAAAATGATCAAAATACTGTATAAGAAAATATTAAATGAATAAATAAAGCTGGCATTCATTTTCTAAATGCGTGATTAAAAATACTATTAGCAAGAATTAATATTTACTACTCCTTTTCAGCCAAATTCTTAATCAAATTATTTAATACGTAATACAGGTGTACCAAAGTAATGGTGATATCGGAATCAATATCGGTTTTGGTCCAGAGCTGAGTATCGGTGCCGGTATCTGTGGGTGTTGGCTAATTTTGATGGTATTGGTATTGGCCTAAAAGTGAGTATCAAGTATCAGCATCAGCAAAAATTTTGGTAACATCCCATCCTTAATACATAATATGTACTGGTATCTAGAGGTGAATAGTACAATATACAACCATCTTTCTTTCTCTCTCTCTCTCTCTCTCTCTCTATCTATCTCTATCTCTCCAATAAATATTCATCATTTTTAATCTTCAAACAAAAATTCTCGAATCCATCTCTGGTAAATTTATTTCATTTAATAAAAATGCTGCCCTTATTACTATTTATTTTAGATTTTTGACCTCTCCAGGCAAACTGCTGTACTATACATAATAGTCTACTCTTCCTATTTCATTTAGTGTATTTTTCATAATTCTGAAAATGCTTCCAAAGTGCTAACTTCAATACTGAACTTTCAAATTGCCATTGTCTATATACCTGAAATCTATCTTCGAGCTGATTCACAACTTTAAGTGCTACAGGGTTCAAAATACTCTGAAGATCCTCTTTTTACTGTGTTTACAATGCAGGAGAGACTGTGTGAGATACTTTATGAGATGAGAGCAAGGAAAACTGAGAAGACATGATTGCAACTAATAATTGTGGTGCCTAGGCTACACATCTTTAAGAGTACCATCTCAAGAAAATGACAACTGAATGCATAATATGCATTCTTATTTGTTTTCAGCAAGGAAATTGTTTCAGAGCACTACAAAATGCAACCCTACATGAATTCCAAAGTCCACTGGGATGTGCTGCAATATAAACAGTTATGATTTTTCAGCTTCCCCAAAACATCACTTACTAGATGTCTTTACAAACAGAGGACTAACCTGCAGTAAACATTACCTCAAAACTAATTATCTAAATAAAACATTTCCAGAGTGCATATAAACAATAAATGTTAATTTGAAAGGAAAATATATTCCAAAATAACTGTATAACAAAAGAGAATACATAAAAAATCATTCAACTACACACTGAAAATTCCTTTGTAAAGACAATCATCCCTTAGAAACAAACAGGCTATCACCTTGTCACACTACTCGGTGTCGCTGGTAGAAGAATGCGATGTACCACTGTCTACTGTGTCATTTGATGGACATGTACTGGATGCAACGCCTGCTACATTTTCAAGATTCTGTGAGGAATGTATTGCAGAGAGATGTGGACCTGCAGTACTGCTCCATGTCTGAGGTACAGTATTCTCGTTTGTGCCACGTGACAAGCATCTATCAGATGATGAGACGGGGAGATTATCACAATCTTGCAGGGCATGAAACACAGGCAGGTCTAGATCTCCTGTTGGGTTCCAGCCCTGCACTGCTGCATTACTAGCTGTATCTTGTGATGTACACACACTAGACCCTGGCAAGTTTTCCTGTTCTTGTGATGGATTATATGTGGGTAATTGAGGAGTCAGATTATGGCTCCAAGACTGAGAAGCAGCATTGTCAGAAGTGTCCAGTGATGAACAGGTACTAGATGTGATTCCTTGTATGTTTCCAGATTCTTTGGGAGGATGAAAGCCAGAAGAATGTGCAACTTTTGTGGCACTCCATGACAGAGATGTAATGCTTTCTGTAGTTTCATTTGCAGAGTTTCGCCCTTGTGCAGATGCTAACATGTGTTCTCGCTGCAGCAGAGAGAGAACAGCTGGTAATGTTGGAACTGTAGCACTGCCCCAAGAGAAACTCTGTCCACCATTACCAGATGTTGATGCTTCATTTGACTGTTGTCGTCCTAAAACAAGGAGTCAATTTTCAACCACACATATAGAGAATATCATATTTTTTTTGGGTCATCACTAGTTAATGTCGGTATTACATGCATGTTTAAGATTATTACTGTCAAATATATAGAAAGTGATCAAATATGATCAACATAGGTTTCATAATACTACAGCAAATGTACTATCAATTCATGCAAGAAAGTCATTAAGAAAAAGTATGATAATATACTTTACGTTAGATATTTTGCTAACTTAGGCACAAACTGGGACCAAGGTTCTAACAAGCAAAAAATGCTAGTGTGATTACAGGTCAAGACAAGAGCAGTAGAGAGCTTGTCTGGATCATCATCATCCAACACACCTTGAACAGCCTCCATATTAATGCCTTGTTCAACGACATTATGACGACTGATGAGATGCTTCTTAAGGTTGTACTTGATGGCTGTGCTGTGCTCACAGTAGGGACACTTGAAGGGCTTCTCGCCAGTATGTGTTCGTAGGTGCCGGGTCAAGTCAGAGCGCAGGAAGAATCGTTTTGGGCAGAAGGTGCACTGATGACTGGCCCCAAGGGAATGACCAGCCAGTGCTCTGGCCCACACCGTTGTCTTGCCTCCACCACCCTAAAACACGGACACTAATTTTAGGGAGAAAATCTTCAAAAGATGTACACTGGGCCAATTTAGTGCATTCCTTTTCGAAAACCACTTGCATTAAATTGAATTAAAACACAAAGGTATTTTTTGTTTTCAATTTGTTAGTGAGAAAATAAAAATTTCACAGCAATTTTGTTGTACAATATTTAACACAGATGAATGCACCTTTTCAAAAATATCTTTCCAGCATAGGTGTACATATTTTGATTTTTAACCCCTCTCCATAACAATACAAATACCATTCAACACAACACCCTACACATATTTAAAAACCTGATACACTCTTCTCTAGATGCTGTATACTCTATCAACACCTTAAAAATACCTTTTCTTAGCAACAAATTTAAGTGTTTACTATTGATGAGTGCATTATGTAAAATATTAACAAAGTTTTATTTTCTAGGTTTATGAAATGTTTTCACTGGAAAGATAACCAAGCATCTACGACTGTCATCTTATACACTACATGAGAATCCCATTCAAAATGCAAAAGCACACACAAGGATGCATTCATACATACACACATGCACACACAGGCAGGTCCAGGAGCTATGACTTGACCCCTGCACACACACACACACACACAGGTATCTGTACTAGGGCTGGTCCTGTTTCTTGTACATGTATGTGAAAGACATGACAGTAAGGATAAAGTTAGAGGTATCCTGTACACAAATGCCATATACTTAATGAGGAGAATACAAACAGGCATGGACCAGAAAAGGCTACAAATGAATCTGGATAGGATGCAGGTCTGGTCTGACAAATGGCTCATGGAATTTAACCCCAGTAGTACAAAGTTATGAAGTTTGGGGAAGGGTCAAGAAGACCACAGATGGAGTACAGGCTAGGAGGGTAAACTGCAAACTTCACTCAAAGAGGACTTTGGGGTAAGTATTATACTGAGCACATCACTTGAAATGCACATCAACCAAATAATTGCTGTGGCAAATGTGCATTTAGCAAATCTAGGAATAGTTTTTTGACATGTAAGGAGTCATTCACATTTTGCACTATGTCAGTCCCATACTGAAGTATGCAGCACAAGTATGGAACCCACATCTGATCAAGCATGTCAAGAAATTAGAGAAGGAGAAGAGGTTTGCAACGAGACTAATCCTAGAGCTAAGAGGTATGTCCAATAGGAAGAGGTTAAGGGAGCTCAACCTGATGACACGTAGGACAAGAGGACTAGAGAGGGAATGTGATAAACAAAATACTGAGAGGAATTGACAGGGTGAACAGGAACAGATTGTTTGAGAGATGGGAAACAGAAACATGAGGGCTCAGCTGGAAGTTGAAAAGTCAAATGAATCATAGAGATGCTAGGAAAAATTTCTTCAGCCTTCAAGCAGCTAGGAAGTGGAACAAACTTAGAGAGTGAAGTGGCAGAAACAGGATCCATACATAGCTTTAAGAAGAGATACACTAAGGCTCTTAAAGCCAAAAGAGAGCGAACCTAATAGAGACCAGTAAAGATGCATGGCCCAAAGCTGTGACTCAATCCCCTGAAACCACATACAGGTTAGCAAGCACACATGCAGACACACACACACACAGGAACAGAGCAGCAGCAAAGGAGGGACCTGGAGGAAGCAACTCCTAACCTCAAGGAGCACCTCCAGAAACAACCTCAACCACTTTCCAAGCTGGATCAACTCTGGGCCACCCTTACTATACCAGCACCAACACTAACACCAGTCTCCTCACTCCTCACCATTCCCACCATTCTTTTCCCTTCCCCTGTCTCTGATCACATCCCTGGTGGTGACGTGCACACTAATCCAGACCCTAGCTCCTCCACACCTATCAGATGAGCAATAATAAAAGAAAGCAAGCTAACAGTGTGGTACACAAATGTAGATGAACTATCAAATAATTGTGATGAGCTGAAGGAGTGAATTTCTAAAGTAATTTCAGCTCAATGATATCAGATCCCATTTAACAGCTGGATATCAAGTGATAAAAAAGACAGGAAACAGAGGAGGCAGAGGAGTGGCACTGCTAATCAGAAATCATTGGAATTCTGAAGAAGCAAGAGAGATAAACAGACAAGAAACACACAACTTCATGGTAGGCTTGGCTAAGACTAGAGGACCCACCGTAGTAATTGCAGTGATATACAACCTGCCACCTAACAGAAAAAGATTGAGGCAAAACTATGAAGACAGCAACACAGAATTGGTTGAAATCATTCCTGAAGCAGCTATGAGTGCCTACAGGGCTAAAGCACAGCTACTCATCTTGTGTTATTTTAAACATCAAAAGACAGATTGGGAGAACTTGCATCCACTTGGGGGACAGGAAACAAAGAGGGCTAAGTTGATGGAACTGTTCAGGGAAAACTTTGTGTCAGCATGTTAAAGATATGACAAGACTGGACCTAGTATTTACCATTAATATGCCATATATAGGAGAAATAGAATAAGAGGCTCCCCTGGGTGACAATGAAAATACAGTGCTGAACTTGCAAGTTTGCAAGTACCTTGTGGAACTAAATGCTGAGGAAAAAATGGCAAGTAGAGGGTGTAAGAAGCCAGACTTTAGAAGAGGGAACTTTGCAGACATGAGAGAGTTCCTGAATGCAGTGCAGTGGGAACGGGAGTGGATAAGGAAGGAAAGTCAGTGGATGTGATGATGAAGTATATAGCTGGAAAGTGCTTGTAGGTACAGAAGAACTTCATACCCAGAAGGTGAATGGGAAATAGCAAAGAAAAAGAGAGCTCATGGTGTAACCAGAAATGCAGAAAAGCAAAAAAGAGAAGCTTAAGAGCATGGAAAACTATAGGTAGTGAAGGATGGATGAAAACAGGAGAAGTGGATATGCAAGAGTAAAGAAAGAGGCTGAGAGACAATTTGAGAATGACACAGCAGCTAAGGCCAAGTCTGCACCAAAACTGCTTAATAGCCAATATCAGAAAAAAAGACCTGGTGGCTAAAGCTCTCGCTTCACACACAGAGGGCCCGGGTTTGATTCCCAGTGGGTGGAAACATTTTGATGTGTTTCCCTACACCTGTTGTCCTGTTCACCTAGCAGCAAATAGGTACCTGGGTGTTAGTCGACTGGTGTATGTCACATTCTGGGGGACAAGATTGAGGATCCCAATGGAAATAAGTTAGACAGTCCTTGATGACATACTGACTTTCTTGGGTTATCCTGGGTGGCTAACCCTCCGGGGTTAAAATTCTGAAGAAAATCTTATCTTATCTTATATCTAAAAGACCAGGTAATTTGACTCAAGGAAGGAGGAGAGCTTACAAGAAATGACAAGGAAGTCTGTGAGGTACTGATCAAATGATTCAAAGAGTTCTTCTCAGTGGAAACTTAATCAGTGCCAAAAAGTCCAGAGGAATGAGTACACCAAAAGGTACTGGATACTATATATACAACATGGTTATAAAAAAAAAATAAAAAAAATTTGATGGAGCTGAATACATAAAGGCAGTGGGGCCTAACAAGTTGTCAACATGATGGATTCTGTGAGGAGCATGAGCATTATTCGAAACACTAGATAAGATCTACAACAAGTCACTGAACACAGGACAGTTGACACAGATCTGAAAGACAGCAAAAGTAGTCCCTATTTTTAAGAAAGCAAGAAAGAAGACAGGCAGAAAATGCTGAATTAAAAGCTAATTTTGCTGATATGCATACCATGTAATGTAATGGAGAGGAAAGTCAGGAGAGTAGTAGAGCACTTGGACAGAAGGGGTTTTCTAAACAGTAACTAGGATGGGGTCAGAGATGGCAAATCTTGTTTAACCATCCTACTGAAATTCTATGGCAAAGTAACAACAGTGAGACAGAAGAGGGCTGGGTACACTGCATTTTCTTAGACTGGAACAAAATGACACTGTACATAGTACCCTACATAAGACTGGGGCAAAAATTTAAGGTACATGCAAGAATAACAGTGAATATACTTTGTTGGATCAGGGAGTACCTCAGAGGAAGGAAGCAAAGAGTGATTTTCCAGGAAGAGATGTAAGAATGGGGAAGTGAAACAAGAGATGCAAAATGGGGAAGTGTAGCAAGCAGGGTGATGCCAGCACTGTTTCTGGTTTATGTGAATGATATTCTAGATGGGATTGAGTCAGATGTATTCCTGTTTGCTGATGATGTAAAACTGATGAGAAGAATAAACACAGATGAGGAAAGGAAAAGACTGCAAATGGATCTGAACAGCAAAACTGGTCAGATAAGTGATTCTTTGAATTCAACCCCAGTAAATAGAATGTCATAAAGATCAAAGAAGGAGACAGAAGACAGGGCACAGTGCATAGTCTCAGAGGACAGAGGCTGCAGACCTCACTCAAAGAGAAAGCCCTAAGGGGTAAGCATAGCGCCTAGCATTTTACCAAAGGCTCACATCAACCGAATAATCTCTACAGAAAATGCTGGCCTGGCAAATCTAAGAATGGCCTTCAGGAAATTCAACAAAGAGTTTTTCAGGGCACTTTATACAACATATGTCAGGCCCAGCTCATCTCGGCATATACAGCACCAGTATGGAATCCACACCTGAGGAAGCATGTTAAGAAACTGGAGAAAGTGTAGAAGTACAAACAAGGCTTGTTCCTGAGTTAAGGGGCATGAACTATAAGGAGAAGCCAGTAAAGCTAAACCTAATGACATTGGAGAATAGAAGAACCAGGGGAGATATGATTACATACAAAATATTCAAGGGAATTGGCAAGGCAGACAGGAACAGGCTGTTAGAGAGGCGAGAAATGGGAACTTGGGAGGGAGTTAAAGACACAGATGAGTCACAGTGATGTAAGGAAGTTTTTCCTCAGTCCTAGAGTGGTCAAGTGAAATGACCTCAGTGAAGAAGCTGTGGAGGCAGACCCCACACACAGCTATAAGAGTAGGTACAATAAGGCCCACAAGGGTAGGAGGGAGTGACTATGACAAGCAGCATATTGAAAGGCTGGGCCAGGAGCTGAGACTAGACTCTTGCATCCAC